TGTCCGGGGTAATTATTCAATCTAAATCCAGGTTTGAAGTGAGATGAAATGTGTGTTATGTAATATGCACGTGGCAGCCCAGCAAGAGATAAATGATCAGTTGATTTTCTTTTTTTGGTAAATCAACGGATCGTTGCTAGTCATCAAAGGATTAACAGAAAATACGTTGATTGATTAATCACTGTTATCTTGCACAGTGGATATGTCAAAAGTGAGTGTTTACATGTCTAGGTTTACTAAAACAAAGGGAATACACTCATATCATGGCGTGAAGTGCCGATGTAAAAACAACATACTTTGTTCAAAGGGTTAACTGATAATGCGTTGATTGATTGATCATTGTTATAAATCACTCAATGGATTTTTTAGGAACCGTGGACGTTATGAAAATAGTTGTCACGTGGGCTTTCTCAGCCGACCTTTGAGACTTGACACCTATGTGAAACACCTGAAACAATCCAAGTGATCAGTTGAGAAACGAACACGGGTTTTAATATCCCGAAACGATATGTATCTTTTAAAATATTTGATTGTTACAGAGACACGTGACATCAAATAAGTTTCTTTGTGTTCCTTTTGTGTGGATATTCACGGATACATTCCTCGAACAAGGAAGCTGCTTAAACTTTATACACATAAATTTGGTAGGTTGTAATTATGGTATTTGCATTTTGTTTTCCTTCATTTGAACCGATTCGTTCTTGTTTCTCTACGTCTTGGTTGGGAAATTCTTCAATGCGCGATAGACGTTGTTTTCACAGGTCTTTTCCTTTGTAAGCGTGTATATATTGCCGTCAATTTGTAAAATGTGATTCTCTCAGGCAATTTATAAAATGTGTAAATATTTCAGTCATTTTGACTAAAATATCTGTCCAGATTGATTAAGACGATCAAAAGGGCCTACAAACATTACAGATTATTATGTAGGATTAGAAGCCAAACAACATAGAAATGTACTTTTCAACGTAACATTTTCAGTCTCTTGATGATGACATTAAACATCGAAATGTTTGGAATTCGTTATCATAATAATACAGATGGAAATGTTTTTCAGTCACTTTGTAAAATAACTGAATATTTAGACGTTTAATAAATTTGTTACACATTTTGACAGTAAAAATATATACACACTATAAAAAAAAGCAATGCTGAGGTGAAATATTTACTTTGTGTTGCAAGTCGAAATAGTGTAAACAAAAATCGCAAAATTACCAAGCAAGTGACTTCGTCACCATTACCGATGCTACCCACAAAGATACCTACATTTCCTTATTATCTCGAAAACTGTGTTTAATTTGGTTGATCAATGTGACCATACGCCCTTATAACTACCCATAAAAGTGACTAATGCGCTTACGAATGGTGCAGCAGAGGTCGCGAACTAGTCTAGATTTCTGCTATTCATCCGGGTACTCACAGGGAAAAAACAATAACAAAGGCAACAACCAGTCCCGGGGAATTGCGTTAGATCAGTGCCCCTTTAAAGGTATAGTTTTTTCATGTTCGTAATGTGTTCAGCGAATAGTTGGTTCAAGACGGAATGCGGGGTCAAACCCGCACATGAAAACAATGTATATATAATACATACCTTGGATTTCAGAAGTCATTTTAACTAAGATTACCCAAATTATCAAATCGTGAATACGAAACCGTTTTGTAAAATGTCACCCAATGCAAGCTCAACTAATCTTATTAACATGACAACCACTAGAGATGTCATGTCATCGATCGCAATAGCGCTGATCGATGTTCATGATGTCAATCACTGGATTGTCTGGTCCAGACTCGATTATTAACATACCGCCGTGATATAGCTGGAATATTGCTGAGTGCGGCGTTAAACAACAAACAAACAAACAAACTGTACAGATACATCGATGATCATCGTTCAGGGCCAGAGACTGGATGCTGACAAAATGATCGTATCAAACATCTCCCGCCTGGGCTGCATTGCATCAGGGTATCAAGCTGACACGCCGTGACCTAACGGGAATACGGTTCCTAATGGCGTTAGAACAAACTCACTCACTATTTAGTAGAGATGGTAGATCTACAAGTGGTTTCCTAAACATCATTTACAAAAAGTGTTGTAATGTCCAAAGCACAACGTTAATTTGCAACGTTGTTGTTACGTTGTGGAATAACGTTAAAATGTAACGTAATACTAACGTTGTCATAGAGATACGCAATTACGTTCTGGAAATTTTAGTATTAAGAGATAAAAATTCAAATGCCGAATATAAAGAAAGGTAATGCATTACTGCCTTGGTATTCTGACAAGTTCATGTTGATTTTGATAAATCAGTTCTATGCCTTTATGACTATCGAGAAGCAAACTCTATAACGTTTCACCGACGTTTCAGAAACGTAGTTACAGAACGTTGTGTGATGTCCGATGCACATCGTTTTCACAACGTGAATGTGCAACGTTGTTATAACGTTGTGAAATAACGTTGCACGTTGACGTTATAATAATGTTGTGACAACGTTATATCACGACGTTACCAATCCACAACCTTTCCACAACGTTGTGACAACGTCGTGTGTTAGCTGGGTGGACATCCAAAGTGCCAGTCCATTTATTCATCCACTTCCGGGGATTCGTGGGTCGCTAGGAAACCAATGCTGGTCGTAAGAAGCAACTTAATGGAGCTGGTGGTCAGGCTGCTGACTTGGTTGGTAGCGTGGCATCGTACCCTGACGGAAAACTAATGGGAATTCCCGAACACAGATACACACAGAACCCTTTAGACACCCCTCCCCTTTAAACTTGAACATAGCGATTTGTTATACATTGGGATAAGTCAGAGAGTTTCGCTGTATGCTCGTTTACGAACATCCTCTCTTCAACCCATCCTAGTGAGCAAAACGAAATAATGCACATCCAATACTATCTGCTCGGAAATGACAGTGACGGCCTACATCAATCTATATATTTACATTAGAATCTGTTATGAACTACCTTTCAATGACTGGCCAATTGATCAAGTTTTGCAATCGCCACAGGTTCATTAACGACTTCGGAATCTCTCCCATAAACCGCTATCATATACATATCTTTAAGTGACTTGTGACAGTTGTAGCGCTACGACTATCATACACTTATTTTTAAGTGACTCGCGACATTTGTAGCACTACGACTATCATATACGTATCTTTAAGTGACTTGCGCCAGTTGTAGCGCTACGGCTATCATACACTTATCTTTAAGTGACTTGCGCCAGTTGTAGCACTACGGCTATCATACACTTATCCTTAAGTGACTCGCGCCAGTTGTAGCACTACGGCTACCATACACTTATCCTTAAGTGACTTGCGCCAGTTGTAGCACTACGGCTATCATACACTTATCCTTAAGTGACTTGCGCCAGTTGTAGCACTACGACTATCATACACTTATCCTTAAGTGACTTGCGCCAGTTGTAGCACTACGGCTTTCATACACTTATCCTTAAGTGACTTGCGCCAGTTGTAGCGCTACGGCTATCATACACTTATCCTTAAGTGACTTGCGCCAGTTGTAGCACAACGACTTGGTTAACGTTTTGTGAGATGAGTCCCTGGGCTATAACGCCCAGTGTTAAAGCATGGTATAACACATGACTTGCGCCAGTTGTAGCACTACGGCTATCATACACTTATCCTTAAGTGACTTGCGCCAGTTGTAGCACTACGGCTATCATACACTTATCCTTAAGTGACTTGCACCAGTTGTAGCACAACGACTTGGTTAACGTTTTGTGAGATGAGTCCCTGGGCTATAACGCCCAGTGTTAAAGCATGGTATAACACATGTTATCAGTCATTGAGTCGTCCTTAGACAACAAACACTTGAGACAGTAACAACTTTATTTGGCAAATGTAACATTGCCGTTATATAACTCGCACACTCTCATGGATCGTCCATGGGTCTGCAGACCCATGAAGATTCCGGGGTAGAATAGGTCTTCAGCAACCCATGCTTGCCATAAAAGGTGACTATGCTTGTCGTAAAAGGCGACTTACGGGATCGGGTGGTCAGGCTCGCTGACTTGGTTGATGCATGTCATCGATCACAATTGCGTGGGTCGATGCTCATGATATCAGTCATTGGATTGTCTGGTCCAGACTCTATTATTTACAGACCGCCGTCATATAGCTGGAATATTGCTGAGTGCGGCGTTAAACAACAAACCAACCAATTCAGGGATCGACGTTGAATAGTGTGATTGGGAGAGGGCAGGGAAGTTTTCGTGAATATCCTTTTAGTCAAAACAGCATAATTTTGTACTTATCCACACCACATTTTTTTTAAGAGTATTCATCATTTCACACAAACATCCCAATTCAGCCACCTCTTTAATTTCAAATATGTGGTCGGTTAGTGGTCACAGCCACCCAATTGTCCAAAATTAATATTTGTTCCGTTACTCGCTGTTCAAGTTGCACTCAGGTCGTGGGTTCGAATCCGCCCTCATTTTGATCCCTCGTCGTTTCAATAAATGGTGAGCATCTGCGACCTACATCACTTGTAGTGTACACAGTTGTTTATCATCCAAACCTGGCTCCCACAGGAGATATCGCTTTGATGAGATCAAGCGATATCTACGCTGTAGATATCGCTGCAATGAAATGACATCACAATGAATTGCAGACCATTGTGACATCACTGGTTACCATGACATCACAATCAAATGACATCACTAATTGCTCTGCTACTGAAGCTGTTTGCAGTAATTTTTACACCGAAGACACTGCTAATTACTGTCTACAAATTGAAAAAATTGAAAGAATGATGTTGGATGATAAAATAAATCTCACCCTCGTGTCTTTTGATATCAAATATATCAACACTCGTTGATAAAAGTGGCAAAAATCCTCGGCAAGCCTCGGAATTTTTCCACTTTTATCAACTCGTGTTGATATATTTGATATCAAAAGACACTCGGGTGAGATTTTCTAGTATTGCTCTGTTGGTTCGATCCGACATTTAGCTGGTAAATTAAACTACGAATCCTCCGTATAATAAACACCTTTTATTTCGGGTCACACGCTGACAAAGCATCGCGATTGACAAGGGCATTTCTTTCCAGTCAACTGTTTTCTTGCCAAGGTATTGCAAAAGCATAGCAGTAAGGGACTGTAGCTCACCTGGATAAGTAGCTTTAAGTGTCAACAAGGATGGCCAATTAGCATTGCCATTCTACTGTCCTCTTCATAAATACTGAGGACTTAAAAGTAACAGTAATTTCTACAGATGTTCACACAATATGATGTCATCAACAGAAGAAAAATAGATTAACAATTTCAGCTTTCTATACCTCAAACAATTTTTGGAATGTCCCCCAAAACGGAATATATGTACTGCAAATACCATTTTTCATTATGATCGAGTGAGTATGTTTTTACGCCGCTTTAGCAATATTCCAGCAATATCACGGCGGGGGACACCAGAAATGGGCTTCACACATTGTACCCATGTGGGGAATCAAACCCTGGTATTCGTCGTGACGGGCGAACGCTTTAACCACAAGGCTACCCTACCGCCCTGTTTCATTCATTTCAGTCAGGTGTGCTCATTAACCTGGCAGTTATGGGTGGACAACGTATTACCTCCCCTTAGACCACAGGATTCGGAGTCCTGACACATGTCTTGTATAGAACACGGGCACGTTTTCTGAAAAGTCTGATTCAATATTCATATTTCACCTTTAGTTGAAACATATGAATCATTTGATATGCGTAAAGCGATACCAGAATTTCATTGTATAGACCACAAATCTCATAACAATCAGATCTTTATAGATCAGATACAATCAGACACGATAACTCCAGGCATGAAGATCTAAGAACCCCTCTGTAGTAGCCAATCAGCGTCAAGCCTTTAAGTTCTGGTTCGAGTCGGCAAAGCATTCAGTCAAGCTTAGCTGATTTCTGCATCTCGAAAGTTTACATAATCTGGGAGTTCCAAATACAACAGACATAAAGCCGGTCTACTATATTGTTCTAGATATCTAATACGCCCTGTCGTTCCCGGGTGCAATGACGTCAACACCCAAAGGCTGTACTATAAAGTGCATATTTATTTTCTGTGGCGGTTTTCCTTTGCTAAGATCGATATTTCCTAATTGGTGTTAGATTGACTGTTAACGAATGAAGACGGAAGGTTTTCAGAAATCAGATTGGCTCAACAGCAATTGCAACATATATTTATAATTATATAGATTGGACAATCACAGTTCGTTCAGATTTCACCTGACGCGACCTTCCATGGAGGTGTAACAGCGTAAAAAATCCAATTGTGTAGGCTACATGTCTTAGTTAGTATGTGGATTTACAGACAGTCTACACAATCACACACGTTCATTTAAGCGAGGGAGTAAATGCTAACTGAGTAATATTCAATCGTTACGTTCTGTAAGTTCCAAGTAATGCATAACCGTCGTGAATCATGAAATCGTGAAATCTGTCCAGAAATTGCAGTCAGTCACGTCCAGAAGTCAGAAGTCCAGTCAGTCACGTCCAGACGTCAGAATTCCATTTTCATTTCCTCCGGAGCCGTATCTTATACGCTGGTGTTTTCAGAACAATCCCCTGCCCATAGAGCCGTGGATCGGGAGGAGGGAGGGGCGATGCCTCATCCTCTACGATGTCGAAATTCTGCAAGATATTGGCCACACAAAGGAAGGTACGGAGACGCGATAAACTCTCCCCAGGGCAGGACCTCTTTCCAAGGCCGAAAGGAATAACACTGAAATAAAAGTTTCTGGTCGTTCAATACAAATTCCTGTTCAATGGATCAATAGGGGTAGCTCATGATCTCATTAAAATTGCATCTTCTATTCCGATACAATTCCTCTCTTTGTGAATATCCATGGGAGGTTGTGTCAGCTAAACCCTAAAGCAGCTAATTTCCCAGTAAATCATTCTTACCGGTAAATCAGATTTCTTTACCTCGTTTCAGAAAACTGACATTCACGAAGTTGAAAACACTTTGACTTCATTCTGACTGTGTAACTTTCTTGTGGTGGTGTATTCAGATCTTCACGCAAAGAGGTACCGTATGGGAGTAAAGAACCTGATTTTAATGAAATGAAATCATGGCTCATGTTTGGATATTGTTTTATTTAAGAAATCTACTCCGAACACTTTTTCCCCATCAAAGTTCACTTTCGACCATAGAGTTTTGTTATGACCATGAAAATGGTTGATTCGCTGTTGTTAATTGTACTGAATATCCCAAAGCTGTTAAATAAACTGTTTATTATTGCTTTTAGATCATTATATGGGACAAGTGGCTTGTCCAGAGCTCCGTCCTTTGAGGTACCTGCTATACAAACATGGCTGAGCAACCACCAAAAAGCAAGTTCACTTTGACAAGTAGGATCGTGATGTCGTTCAAAGATCTCAAGCATTTCCATATGACTGGCGGAAACGCTTTTAAATGCCCGAAGGCAAAAGAAGAGAGTCTGAAAATATGATATAAAAAAAGCTGTTAAAATAGCGTAGGCCACCGCAGTGGCCATTGAGCTCTTGTCTGCGATCCTGGAAGAAAAAGTTTAAGATCCAGTGACACTGGCACTTGCTCTTTGGTACAATACTTGGAGCTGTCAAAATGGATCGGTGAGAATCATATTTTGAAAATATTTACATATGGAGAATCTGCATCTGAGTTTCATTAAGTAAGTGAAAGAAGTCGACTGAGCAGTCCTTGTTTTAGCCTCTTAATGCCGAGCACCAGACAGGGTAACAATCGTCTTTTGGTATAACGCGGCCGGGGATCGAACCACGGACCTTCCGCTCTCCGGGCGATCACTCTACCACCAGACCGCGGATACGGTCTTCGTTGTGATACAAGCTTGGACTTACTGTAAAACAATTCCCCACATAGAGGATTAAATGCTGAGTTCGACTGATTATTAAACACTTTAGTGATACATCAACAACTGAGATCCCAAATCCCCTAAGAAAGAGTCTCATGACTTGATGTACTGAGTCCAATATTTTTACAACTTTAGCAGGCTCCAACCGTAAACAACTGAGCCAAAATGTGAACGTTTAAGTTATATCATTAAATGATTTTGAACAAGTGCACAATGAAGGATAGGTGAAGCGAAATCTGTTTAACGTCGTGTTCAAGATTATTTCACTTTAATAGCAAGGTCAATGCACATTTGTGTGGTTGCTTCTACTATAACTTACTTTCTTTTAATGCTAGCCCATTTAATTTTTTTATCATGCATTGCCACTAAGACACAATGCTTCAGTTTAACATGGATACCCCACTCAGGCACAGTTTACTTACTTCGAGCCGACCCTTGCCTTCATCCCCTTAATGTCGAGCACCAAGGTAGGGTAACAACAAGTACCATTTTTCAACTTCTTTTGGTTTGAAGTAGTCAAACGGACCTGGCGCTCTCCGGGCAGCTTGTCTATCTATTTAAACACGGAGGCGGTCTTACATTATGAAGACATGACTATCTTATAAATTCAGCATACGTTTCGTAAAACGGGATCTCAGTTAGATTGACGGTATCACAATCAACGGCGTGACAAGCATCTTGCGTAATTGATCAATGAATTGTATACAGTAACATTTACAATCGGTGAATAAGACGGCCATGTGGGATCACATGAATAAAGTATCTTACCGACGGTGTGACAAGCATTTGGCGTAATTGATCAATGAATTGTATACAGTAACATTTACAATCGGTGAATAAGACGGCCATGTGGGATCACATGAATAAAGTATCTTACCGACGGCGCTTCTCGTGTTCGCTTGAAAGAAGAGCGCCGTTTTCGTCGAGGAATCTCTCAGGAATGTAATCAAACGGTCGCTCCCAGAAATTCTCGTCGTGATGTATTGACCATATATTGTAGAGGACCTGTAAAACACGTGGATGAACAGTTCAATCAACCAATCAACCACTCAATCACCTACTCAACCAATACATGCTACTAATGGTTGGAGGTCCATTTGTATCTGCCTGTTTTGTTTTCTAAAGTTTTAAGACGAATACCCACCCCACTCAGACACATAATACTGACTTCGCGCGGACAGGTCCTTGTTTTAGTCTCTTAATGCCGAGCTCCAGAAAGGGTAACAACAAGTACCATCTTTTAACATCTGTTGGTATGACGCGGCCGGGGATGGAACCCAGACCTCCGCTCTCCTGGCGGATGTTCTACCACTAGACCACGGAGGCGGTCTGCAATCATGTGTATGGCCACATATTATCAGCTAACGTGCAGTGTGATGGAACAGTACAGTGTCCTTATACTATTTCAACGATATGAACTGTCTATATATTGTTGTACTGTTCTCGCTGGAACAAACGGCAGGAAATCATATGTTTGTCTACTTACTGCAGTATCTTTGGGTATCTGGTAACTATGGAAATCAACATCCCGACTTGTCGCGTGGAACACCGGCAGTGGGACAGGCGTATACAACCTCATATGTTCCAACAACGCAGCGTTGGTGTAGGGGAGGTGTGCTTTGTCAGGAGCTGTTATTCTTGACCCAAGGGGAATAACTCGTCTGATTTCAGTCTGAATGTTCTGCTGGACACCTCGATGTGTTGCGATGAAAAGTAACGTACTTAGAAGCGTCTGTCGTGTAGTTTCAACGCCTGTATAATGGACATAAAATAACATTTGCTGTTGTCTTATTACAATTCCTGATAATTTCATACACAAGATATAATATTTGTCTAGTGAGTGAGTGAGTTGGGTTTAACGCCGCTTTTAACAGTATTCCAGTTAGATCACGGCGTGTCAGCTTAATGTGGGAGAAAAGCCCGAAGTGATGCAGGTCTCAGACGTTTACCACTTCGGTGAAACCCACGAGCACGGGTATGGTGCTGACAAACCTAGAAACATAATCGGGGCGTACCGGGATTCGAACCCACAATCATAGGTTTCTGGCGTGCCCAAGGGACGCGACTCTGCACAGCGAATCGCGGCGCCTTAGACGACTGGGTCACCCGTGCCCCCATCTGTCTAGTCCATACAGGGACGTAGAATACACATGGACTAGAATGCGAGTATCATCAATATTTGCTGCACTATGAATACGGTTTAATTGGCTGTGGGTTGGCTGGGGATTGGCGTGGTGTGAGGGTGGGTGCACCTAGAGTGACTGACTGACTGACTAACTTACACAACAAGTGTATTGCCTTATTAATGAAGGTATTAGCATTTCCTTACTATTTATATGTTTGTTTGTTGTTTAACGCCGCACTCAGCAATATTCCAGCTATATGACGGCGGTCTGTAAATAATAGAGTCTGGACCAGACAATCCAGTGATTGACATCATTAGCATCCATCCACGCAATTGGGATCGATGGCATGCATCAACCAAGTCAGCGAGCCTGACCACCCTGACCACCCGATCCCGTTGGTCGCCTTTTACGACAAGCATAGTCGCCTTTTACGGCAAGCATCGGTTGCTTAAGACCTATTCTACGCCGGATCTTCACGGGTCGCATGAGATGCAGGTGATGCAGGTCTCAGACGTTTACCACTTCGGTGAAACCCACGAGCACGGGCATGGTGCTAACAAACCTAGAAACATAATCGGGGCGAACCGGGATTCGAACCCACAATCATAGGTTTCTGACGTTCCCAAGGGACGCAACTCTGCACAGCGAACCGCGGCGCCTCAGACGACTGGGCCACCCGTGCCCCCTCAGTAGTATCGTAGAATTGCAAACCAGACAGACCTTAATATCAAAGTGAACACAACACGTTTCTTTATTTCTTAGTGAATTATCTCCCCTGATTTTGTTTATGCTTGTTATAAAACATTTTAAAAACTTGATACCAAGGTCCTAACCATCACGTGACTTGAATGGTCAAATAAAACTAACGATACCAGATGGGTGTATGTATGCTGTGTATATTATGTGCATTGTGTACCATACGGATCATCCAAGGCATTTTAATCATTATGAATTTGTATATTCATTTGGATTTAGAAAACATGTACTTTAAAGAATCTACAAATATATATTACCCAAAACACCATACCAAAATCCAAATTTACTTTTTTGGCATAAGACAAAGATTAAAGTTTGTTAATACTTTGTTGATGAAGGGTATGATTTCTTGATATGTCGAGTTCATGACTGAAATTAGATTTTGTGTGATTGCAGTGTGTTCCCTTAAGACGATAGCTCATTGGGCGTCGGATGTTCGCCCATTTGCTGCAACAATTTCATAACCTGTGTGAATGATTGAACTTTCAAAATTATTTGAAATAACTTTCCTAAAAATGCATAGTTGAAAATTAATCCATGGCCGACACCACGTAAAACGAATGATCAAGGAAAAGTATTTATATTGATGATCATTTTATATCGTGAAAGCAATTAAAAGCTATTCGTCGAGTCTTTTCGAGTAAAATGGCAAATATAACTTCAAGTCTAATAATCTCTTGCTCTAATAGTCACGTTACCATAAAAAGTGTATGTGCATTTTGCAGTACAACAAAAGCGATAAAGAACGATAAGCGGTCATGAGTTATTACTTATAATACTTTCAGAAAATCGTTCAGGATTTCAATCGGTGAACTAATAATCTGAAAACTACAGTTGTACTGTGTGATGCTTTAAGCACCTGCTGCAATCAGATCAGTAACGATGCCCCTCATATCTTCCTCATTGATTTTGCCGCCGTCGTCCAGTTCCACGTCACCAGACAGCAACTGGCCCATGATGCTTTGCTCGTCAATGCCGCCCTCCTGCAACACGTCCAGAATACATGTGGAAGATATTTCCAAATTTGAGGCATCGGTGATGCAATTCCATATTTTGACCTGGACAACTCATTTTCCCCTTTTTTTCAGCTGAACAATTGACTTCCCTTTGCATGTGTTTGCAATGGATGTCATCGTTGGAGCAAGATTCGCTTACATTTGTCGCGAACACCTTGTATCATCACAATTTGATAGTGGTCCATGCATACATGCTTGAGATAAAGTCGGAATCGTGCAATAAACTTTACTAAAAGCAGATGTGTCTTTATATGATTGTGGAAAGGGTTTTGTCGCTTTCATTGGATGAATGGTATTTAACGATGCATATATACGGGCCTGTAAAACTCAAAATCAACGCAATCTGCCAAGCAAGAGAACCTGACTACCCGATCCAAATAAATCGTCTCTTATGATAAGCAGTAGAGTTCTTACAGCGCAGAGTTATTTGTTGTTTTACAATCCCAGTGGTGAAATGTTTTTGTTCCAGTCTGTTCAGGAACAATTTACATTGTATCAGAAAAAAACACCTTTCATAGACTTGGACATCGAACCAGAGGTTTTGGATTCACTGCAAAACGCTTGACTACCCCGCCAACCCAGTTTTAAACTGAATGACACAAATGCTTTGGAAAAATGTTTTGTGGACGCATACATGAAAACATTTTTAACTCAAACGTAAAAAAGTTCAAAAACACTTTATCTTAAAATCAGTCGTTTTATTAAAGCGCGCGCAACAAAGTCATGTACCGTTAAAATAA